AAAAAAATATTTATTCTTTAGAAAAAAAATACTTCTGAAAAATTTGTTATAACTATTACTTAACTTTTTGTTTTACAAAGAAAGTTTACAAAAGTGAAATTTCCAATTACGGACAGTCTTCATAGCCGGACATCTCCCATAACTGAACAAATTTCATGAACGTTTTGTAAAAAATTTATTTTACTATAACATAACCTTTTTTTGTTTTATGTCACGTCACCATATATGGACAGCTCGCTTAATTGGACAAAAATAACGCTTCGATGAGTATCCGGTTATGAAGAATTTCACTGCATATCAAAACTAGACATTACAGCGCCTATATTATATGATGCAACATTATTGTCAGTTCCTTATGACTAAGTAAATATCTAAAGCAGCTTTAATTTGAACTTGAAAGGTATTACTATTCCAAACAGGTGTTAATTTCTATAAAAACAGCACATTGCGCTGTCTGAAATTTCAAATTTCGACGTGTGAGGCTTATTCAAGTGTTGTGCAGCATTGTTGCTAGCTGCGATTGAACGGAAATATGCGAAAGTGTATAGAAAGTATTGTGGCAGTTAGAGTGGTGCAAAAATCTGTTTCTCAACACTATGAAAATATTTTCGACTCTCTGTTGAAAATAATTCTGCAACATTTCTTTCGCAACATTTGCTGCGCAACATTTGTTTGCGAAAGTGTCGAATTGTGTTCGTTTTTAATAGAAAACCATATATGTAGGTTTTAGGCACTGATTACAAAAATTATATTTGTTTCAGAGCTGTTCATGCTGTCAACATGTGTCTGGCAACATCTGTTCTCGAAAAATGAATGTTTCTAAGCAATTATATTGCGGATTTTTTATGTAATTACTGATTTGGGGAACAAAATAAGTTCATAGATTAAACATATGAACATTGAACAACTATGTTTTAATAAAATAAAAAATTTGAGGTGAAAAACATATTATATTAGTTCTACACTTAAAAAATTCGCAAAAAAAATTGTAAATTTAGACAAAAACAATTTGTATTTTTTTTTTTTTTGAAAGTTAAATCTGAAATTTGACGAAAAAAAATTTTATAGCTCAAAGCATTACCAATAAATCTTGGTTTTTTAATATTAAACAATTTTATTTTAGTAAAAATTATGATAA